ATTTTGATATACAGAATCCTTCATGTAGTCTTAGAAACCCTTACCATGATTCCAAAGTGTAAAAATTCTGAAAATTACAATTTTTTTGCGTTGGTAGCAAGCTCATTTGTGGGAAACAATGTGGAGTGACCAGAGCTACCATGACTTTCTATTCATGCTCTGCTGTGGATCTACCAGTGTGTTGGATGTTGTCCCCCACCACAGCAGGGCTATTAAAGTATCAGTGTGTGGGTCTTACCTGTCAGAAAGGCAAAAGGAAAAATATCTGAAATCTGAGCGCATCTGGCCTGAAAGGTTTCAACTAACAGACTGGATGTACAAACATTTGCCAATGATTTCTGTTATTGAAACCTTTTGAAGTTAGATGTTACATGGGTTTCTCCTCTATACTCCCTGTGTGATTTAAGATTATACATGAGGCCCTCCCTGGTGGCGCAGCGGGTTAAAGCACAGCACTGAGAATCTAAAGCCGCTTCCGCATGAGTTCGATTCCCGCCTGCCTCGGAGGTGACCACATGGCGTGGCAGACCTCTCCTGACCAGCCCGCTGCTCCCCTCAGCAGTGTACTTCATCGATCTGCCTGTTATGCTCCCCACTGTCTCTGGTGAAGCCTCTCACCGCCCCTGAGCCTCTGGCCTGTACCCCAGTTCTGTATACACAAATAAATAAATATTTTAAAAAAAAAGATTATACATGAATGCATTGGGACAGTAAAAGTTTACCTTATTTGTTTTTTCTTTTATTTTTACATAGAAGAACTGGGATGTAGGTCACAGGTATGGGGAGGAGGGGAGTGAGAGGCCTCAACAGAGACAGAGTGGGGAGCGGAACAGGCAGATCTACTGAAATCCACTGCTGAGGGGAGCAGCAGGTGGGACAGGGGAGGTCTGTGCCAGGTGGGTCAATTGCCCCCCCTCCCCCCAGGGTCTCCAACTCAGGCAGTAGAGGTGAGAATGCTGACATTTAACCCCTGGGCCACCAGGGAGGCCCTAAAGCTGACTGTAGTTGAATGTTTTTAGTTCTTATTTTGACACCTGGTGACCTTGGATCATCAAAAGACAAATGATCTGAGCAGCATACTTGGGTTTTATTTACTGCTTGTTTAATCACTAGAGACTCCCTGAGGAAGGAAGGAGACTGTTGAGGAGCAAATACAAGACTAATTGATATGGATATTAGGCAGCAGCACTTGTAAGGCAAGAGAACAAACCTCCCAGGTTAAATGGGGAGAGATTTAAATAAAACTCAATGCTTTGATCTGCTCCTAAGAATTGTTTTCACCCTTTCAAGTTATATGCTTATACTGACCTGAGGAGCAGTCAGGCAAAATACTGTATTTGCAAGCCTGTGGTTTAAGATGGTTTTGTCTCTATTTTTTCTCCCTTCAGGCTCTGAGTTATACAGGTAGCCGCCTGAAAGTCCACTTGCCCAGTTTAGTAGAGAGTGAAATCCTGAAAGAGGATGGATCCATAATTAAGAGGTTTGGGTTAGCATGGGGTGATGGTTTAACCACTAACACTTTAAAAAAGTTTTCCAGTGTAAAATAAGAGTTGAGCCCACGCAAGCCCACAGCCCTTGGGCACTGCGGCCTCTCCTGCACTGTAAGGCTTCTGTGGAGGGACTGGCCCCGTCAGCATGCAGTATCCTGAGCACCCTCGCGAGGCCTTCAGAGTGGCACGCAGTGCCAATTTACTCCTCCCTCCCTGGGTGTAGCAAGTTCTCAGTCTCTTGAAGGGCACACAGCCCAGCTGTTCCATTGTGATGATGGATTTGGAGAGCAGAGGAGGACGAATCCAAGCAATTACTCACCATTTCATCTGTGACGTTTGCTTTTAGCTTAGTCTTAGTACATCTTCGCTTTCACAGTAACATGCATTTTTTTTTAACACAGTTCTGCATGTGGATGGCAAATAACACATGCTTGAGTTTGATACCCATGAACCTGAATCTGTGCATTGATGCTGAAACCTGGGTCTTTAGTAGTTCAGAAGATGTCAAGGAAGTGGTGAGCATAGAAAGGCTCTCCACTGTGTAAAATCTCTACACTCTTCTCTCTCTCGGCCATATTTAGCAGCGCTGTATGTATTCATAAAATGTTCTCAGCTGCGCAGTGAAAAGAAAGACACAATGGGAATTCAAGTTACTCTTGTGCTGTTCACCTCATTGAAAAGAAGAGCAAGATTGTCATTTATAGTACGCTCCGAAGCTAATTTTAGTCCATAAAACATAATAATTAGAACAGTGAAATTAAAGGTTCTGTCAGGATCCCGCCCTCCAGTCACTTGTGAAAAACAGCAGTAGCTAGGAATTTAAAAGAGCATAATTGCTCACAGAACTTGAAAAGTGCTGCATGAATTAAGGAGAGAGTGTTTTGCATAGACTGAACTTTGAAGTCACTCAGACGAAACCACACCAACCAGGCACATGCTAGCATCATGCTGTCCTAAGTCTGCAAGGACGGAGAAGCCATTCCATACACATCCTCAGCTCAGCTGGTGCATCTGCAGCCAGGGATGCAGACAGTGCAGTGTGATTCCACAGAGACAGCTTTGGGAGTCTGTCTGACGCTTACTAAGGACGTATCTTCCCAGCTGCTGCTTCCTAGTCTGCATCTAAGCTCAGCCCTGGCTCCCGTCATTCATTGACAGGTGCATATTCCTAAACACATCCATCATAAGAAGTGGCACACACCCCTGGCGATGTCCTGTCACAGAGAGGAGTGTCCTTACTTACCCCTGACCTCTTATGCCCTGATATCAGTGCCATAAGGTTTCTGCTCATTCTTGGCAGAAACAGTCAGATAGCTGCCTTTGGCGCAAGGGGAAAAAAAGGATGATAAACAAATATCAGAGAACATTATCTGACTTGAGCCATTGGGTCCACGTGTGACCTTTTTATCAAGAGGAACAAATGGGAGTCCATTTTGATATACAGAATCCTTCATGTAGTCTTAGAGAGAAGGGACGAGTAAGAGCAGAGAGAAGCAAGGAGGATGAAAACACAGATGTGGGAAAGAAGATTGAAAGCATGTTGGCTAAAGCAAGGCACAGCTTAAAAATTCGCAGCGCTCTGAAATGCAGGATAATGATAAGGGTAGCCCATCGACAGAGCCTCCAGCCCTAGACCTAAGAATCCTTCAGGAAAACGCAGGGCAGAGCTACAAATTGATCATGCTGACAGTGGTTTGAGGTGGAGATGAGCCAAGACACTGGTTTAAATGCAGACTCTGTATCTTGGCCTCACTGCATGCTAACGGTGCTGGTTTTTATTTGGCATTGAGTCAGTGCTGAGATGAAGTTTCCTTGTTTGTTGTAATAAACATGCCTGGCACTGGAAATATGCTCCAGTTGTGGACTGAGGAATTGTTTTTACAAGCAGAGAGCGAGAAAAACTGAGAGTAAACAAAAGACCGTGTAATCATTTTCAAGGAGGGCTGTGGGAAGATGATAGTACAAAGTGTAACCCTACCTCATAGTCACCGTCCTCAAGAAATCACCAGTCTGAGGAGGGAGCTGTAGATAGTTCTGCGGCCACAGGTGACATGAAACAGGCAAAGTGCCGAGGATGCTGGGAAGACAGGGCAAGGATTAGTCTCTCTGTTTTTTTCTTTGTCCCCTCTGTCTTCTCCACCATTGCCACAGAAAGTTTGAACCTTCATCCGTTATTGGCAGTCCCTTTCCTGTAATATTCCTGGATAACATTCCAGTTTTTAAAGATCTGTCAAGGCACATTGGAACGTCAGAACATTTTTTGAGAAGTTGGCATCAGGGTGTGCCTCTGCGGACTAAGGTGGCAGCCAACAAATTTTAAATGAAATAGACTAGCTGAATGAATCCCACTTTAAAGTGGAAAGGATTTTGTTTCCCATCCAAAAAGTACTTATGGAATCACTACTTCACTATGAACTAAGTTATTTTAAATCAGGGCACCTGCACCAAAATACAGCTAATGTCACGGTTACTTTTGGAGCGCATCATACTAAAGCTTGATTTAGTATTTCTTCAAGATAAAAGCATGCCTTATTCCAGATCACATTTTTTTCAAAAGCTTGCCAATGATTTGATAGGAAAGCATGTGTAACAGAAAGACCTGGAAAGATGGCTGTAATTGTACTCCCGTCTGGGTGTAGAAACATCTAGAAGTGAGACAGGAAGGACTTTGACATCGTGGTTACCCCCATGCTGAAGACAGAGCATAATTCTCTCTTGTCTGATTCCTCCAGGACAACAATGAGTAAGGCCAGCACACAGAAGAAGGCTGTGGTGAAGGACCAGCATGGAAAACGCATTTACCTGGAGCACCTGGAGGATGTACCGGAAGCACTAGACCAGGACGACCTCCAGCGTGACCTCCAGCGCCTCCTTCGGCATTTCAGCAAGGAGGACTTCAAGCAAGAGGCCAAATGAGGGGCTGCCCAGTTCTCACCCCAGAAACCACATTCACTCAATATGCAACTTCCCGTTTTCTCTAGCAGAGTGACCTGTCAGGCCTAATCTGCGAGGTACCTGGCCGTTCCACTTTTAGCAAATACACTGCGTTTTATTTCAGTTTCCCCCCTCCTCTTTAACTGTAAGCTAATTTGTGACCAAAGATAGCGTCCCTCATTCTGGATGCTGTATCCACTTCCCTGCTGGGTCTGTGCTAACCTGGGAACTGGCCACCCGTTCGTTCTTGGCTTCTGCACAAGCTCCATGGACACCCATTCGTCGTCAGAACTTCACCGACAGACCTCTTCAAGTGACGGTATCTCGGAGTCTCTCGGAGGGACGTCCGTGTACAATGTAAATAGCTAAAATGCTCAGACGAACGACACGTTAAAACTTAAACCACTGCCTATCATAACTACACTGGGCATCAAGGAATAAAACGCCTCTAGAAATGGCTGGACCGTGGTTCACCAAGATATTGCTAACACAATCGATTGATAACACAGTTCTACTGCAGAGAAGCACTTCAGACCTACCATGTCCTTAGAACTTCCAGAGTAGCCATGGCTCCTAGTTACACATGGATTCCTAACCTCCAGGAGCTCCCCTAACTACGCCCTGGTGCTGGTGCGGGCCAGCCATGGTTTCGAACTCTTCCCCCAGCCAGTCTGAGGAGGGCAGGAAGGGAGCAGACGGCGAACAGCAAATCAATGTGGGAGCTGCTGGGAGCTGCGTGCTCTGCTCACAGGTCTTTTCAGGTCTTTTCGATTTTGAACATGTTGGCAGGGTATTTTAAAAAGCTATAACTACTGTAGTTTTTCCAGTTTTCATTGCTGCTTTAGCAAACCACGCTGTCTTATTGGTGGTACCATCTTCAGGCCACTGCACTGTAGATAACTCATTGGAAACGAGATTGATCTACCACACAAAAGGATCAACTCCTCCCGCCATGTTGGCGCAGTTTCTTTTTCTCCCCCCCCACGCCCCACTCAGTTTATATCTTCTCCGATACCTGCATGGAGCGTTTAAGACATGAGACCCACTCTCAAACCCCTCTTCCGATCTCATTTACGAACGGGTTTCATTCTTTTGACCCGGAAGCAAGCACTTTTTCAATGTTTCAGCTCAGTCTGTTTTTTTAGCCGCAGACAAGGTTGAGACATCCTGACAAATTCGGTCTCGGTGAACATTTTTTGGTTTATTTATTTGAAATCCAAACTCCCTTGGGAACCCTGAAGTGCGTTTGTGCATTTTCCTGTTCGTTTGTTTCAAAGAACGGACTTGAATCATCTGAGTGATTTCCAAGTCCGCTTCCTTATTTCTCTAGTGATTGAAGCTGTGTAGCATTTTCACATATATATATTCACAAATATATTCCTATAAACAGTATACAGTTTGAATCAGTTATTTGTTAAAGAAAAGTATATTCAACAAAGACGAAATTAAAAACAACAGCAACAAACACCAACAGTCCCAGAGTCTCTCCTCCAGGGCTTGAATGATTTCCAACTCGATCCGGTCTTTTCCTGTTGTGCAAAAGTGACTCGTGGCTCTAAATGTCCAGAACAAATGCGACAAACAATGGTTCTTCATCATGTCAAGTAACGATGCCAAGAGAGAACATTTCCCAGGAGGGAGGTTCCCCACAAGCTGACTCTTCCTAAGCCTCGGATGCTAGCACTTTCTGGCAGTTAGACGGGAAATCAAGCTTCCCGGGACGGCCCTTGTGCCCATGGGCCACGGTGACGCTTCGTTAGACACACCACGGCCTGCCTGTCAATACCTTCACGGGAGCTCCGGAAAAGCATACTGTCGTGTTCCTTGCAGTGCAGATGATGTCTGTGTAACAACATAATGGTTATTCACCTTCTTTGATTTTGATTTTTGCTGTGTAATCAAAAAAACTTGAATACTGTGAGAAGAAGTGAATTTTCAGTTGATGAATCAGCATCTTGTTCCCATGGTGATAACACTAATTGAATATATCTATGAGGGCATGTATTAGTTAATGGAAAAAAAAATACAGCACTAACAATACATAGCTGCAATGTGTACAATGGCTGATTTAACTCAATAAAATGTACAAGTGTTCAGTGTGGCAACCGTGATTTGTTCTTCTTTATCTCTGGCCTGTGGTTTTGGGAGAGAAGAGATCAGATGAGAAACTTGGAAGATTGTAGAAAACGGAAGGTTCATTTTTCTGCCTGTCATTAAAAAGGCAAGATGTTATCATCTCTACTTTAGAATTGGGAATATTTTCACTGTAAGATGGTAGCCTTTGCATTTACCGACAAGGGGGAAATAGAGTGAATGAATTGTTGGAAAAATGAAGGAATTGCTTTAAAATAACCTAATCAGCTGAACTCCTTAAATAAAGGATACTTAAAATCGAGAGAGAGAGACCCCCAAGCCAAAAGAAGACCCAACAGCTTTTGTCTTGTGTTAACTTAGAATGCCCAACATTGTACTAGGTGGGGGTGGCGTGGGGGGGGGAGGGTGTGAATGGACTGGAAGGGGAGTTATACTTTGGGGGGGGAGTTACACTTGGTCTCTATTGCAAAGAAATTTTATTTAACAATAAAATAATGATTGCTTGTTACCTAAGGAGGAAGGATTCATTTTCACGTTGGGGTTAGCTAGTAAATGAGAAATGGGAATTTGGGGAGTTGGGGGTACAAAGGGTGACCTGGTTGGCAGCTCAGCAAGGTGCCCGGGCAGGACTGTGTGGGGTCCCCTAGAAGATACGCTGCAAATACTTCCCACTTTTGCCAGCACGGTCTTGCCCTGTTTTCTCCCGTGTAGCCTGAGACGTTGACATTCCATGACTACATTAATCTAACATCAGCTGGAACATGTAAAACTGAAACCGTTGTGTTTGGAGTTTCTTTGTGGTTTTATTGTTTTTTGTTTTTTTTGTTTTTTTTGTTTTTTGCTTAATCCCTTTTCTGCTTTTCTAGCAACATTTGTATAAAACAGACATAAAGGCTTAGAGATGGAGTAGGTTTTATATAATTTTTATTTTTTAAAGATTTATTCATTTATTCTTACAGAACTGGGGTACAGGCCAGAGGTGCAGGGGCGGTGAGAGGATTCACAAAGTGGGGAACAGAACAGGCAGATCGACGAAGAACACTGCTGAGGGGAGCAGCGGGCGGGTCAGGAGAGATCAGTTGTGCCATGTGGGTCGCCTCTGTGGCTGGGGATTGAACTTGTGCTGCAGTGGCTGCAAAGAGCTTCATAGTGCCATAGTGGGGTGCTTTAACCTGTCGCGCCACCAGGGAGAGCCCGGTTTTATATAAATTTCACCTATTGTGTGCTGAAGCTTCCTCACTGCATCTGGCTCATCTGCTGTGTTGATTCACATGAGCTCCCAAAATTGAAATTGCAGTTGCACTTGAAAGATTACCAAAAAACTGAGTCTCAGGTAAAAAATAAATCCAAAGCAGGGGTATCTGTGCAAGGTCTCCTCTCATTTGTTCCCTTTTTTCCCCCTTACACTTCCGTTGTGATGAGCTTGAGTAAGGAGATGAAACATCCATGTCTTCTTGTGTTTGAGTACGTGGCATGTAAGTTCCATGAAAAAATGAACAGTGATTAATATATTTAAAAGGTGGGGTGGGGAACCCCTCCACGCTGAGAGAAATCAATGCACGTAGACATGATTTGCATCGGTCACAAAGAGGCACGTCGGTCATAGGTTCTCCTTGAGACAGCCTTGTGTGGCACTTGCTCTCTCTCAAGGCAGTGGGGCGTCAGCCTGTGTCCAGGAGGCAGAGTGGCCAGCACGGCAGGAAAACGGAGAAACACGAAACAAGTCCTGAGACCCAGGATCTGAGGGGTTCAAGGTTTCTTAGACAGAAGAATCAAGAAAGATGGTTTGCTTGTTTTCCTTCTACAAAAAAAAGGGAGGTTCTTTGACAGTCTTTGTTTTCAGTTAACCCTCCCTTCAAGCTCCACTCTCCAAGCACAAAGCTCCACTTTCCTTCCTTCAGTTCAAGTAGGAGTTGTGCTTCTGGTCAGATTACAGGTAGAATTGCAATCTCAGAATGAATCCCTCATGTGAATACGGCACCCCCCTCCCCCCAAAAAAAACCTGCATTCCGACTCCTGCATGCTAATTAAAATATTCTTTTTCTTTTTTGGTTATACTCAGACTTCCTGGGAAAAACAAGAGCACTCCCCTGTTGTAGACCAGCCGCACAGGAGACACGTGAACATCCCAGGGTAGAGATGTTGGCTGCTGGTATTTGCATGGTCCCCACCTCTACCCCTAGTCACTGCCAGCGTGAATGGCAGAGTCCTCGTATGCCCAGGTGAGCGGTAGTGACAAGACCGGGCACCAGGTGACCTTGACGTGAGACCTGGTTGGAATCCATCCAGCTGCCAGTCTGTAGGTGGCTTGATGGGGAATGTTCTCATAACATTCTCAGGGAAGGGCAGGAAACTGTGCTGCGTGGGTGAGAGACCCCCCTCGGGTCTACTGAGGTTCCAAGAGTGGGGTGCTGAGGCCTCAACACCCTGTTAGAATGGGCTTGAGGGTGACCATAGGGGAGCTCTCAGTTGGCTCTTACAGCTCAGCTCCGCACTCCTTTCCTGAAGTTCCCTCACGCGCTCTAGTTTGGGTTTACTTTTCTCCACTCAAAAGTGACTATTGATGTGGATAAAGCTGCCCCCCCCCCCCCCAGACCAAATCTTTAGGCATCGCAGTCACAAATGCTCCATAGAAGCCTGGCAGCCTGGGTGCTCGACAGGAGGTGTGGGGAGATGCCAGCAGTCTCTCATGTGGGGAACTGAGTCAGCATCAAGTCCACACGGGATGGTGTTGGCTGGGCATGGGGGAGAACTCAGCCGGCCCTGTCGACTCTTAGCCACCATAGAGACTGGCGATTTCTCACCTGTGCCCGAGGTAGACCTTCAGGAATTGTTTTATTAGTTAGAACAGAACAACAGTAAAGTTACAGCCTCTATCTCAGTATCGTCTTATGAAATCCTAAAGGAGAAAACTGAGAAGGAGAAAGAAAGACAACCGGGAAATGTGATCTGGTTTATAACAGCGTTATCTGGTGGGTGTGGGCCTGTTGCAGGCATGGAGCAGCTTCTTTTGCGGAAATTGCGTGGTGTCTCATCCTTAGTACCCCGTATGGCTCGGGAGCCCCCAAAGTGAACCGTGTGCCTCGTTATCCTAATGGGCCCCTGTCCACACCCGAGTCTATGTGAGTGAGTTGACCTCTGCGGGCATCTGAAGATGGGCTGATTGTCAGGGGAACCACCTGGAGTGGGGCAGATACAGGGGCACCCCCCAATTTTGGGGAGCAGGGTGGCCGAGCCTATCCCGATCTCTGAGAGGCTTATGGAGCTCACCAGTGACCAGAGCCGGGGAGGAAGAGCTTGCAGGCTGGTGAGTGTCAGGCGTTTCTATTTCAGCGTCCCTGTGTGTCTCTCCTGCCTGCTGGCCCGTGATGCGTCCCTGCCTAAGAAACCGGCTCTCAGGTCAGTAACAGGCGAATTCGTGGAACCTAAAGAGGCTTTGTGGGGATTCCGACTGCAGCCCCTGGTCAGCAATTGGAACTGGCGTCTGAAGTTGGGGTGGGGCCGCGCACCCCTCAACCTGCAGGCTGTGCTAGGATCAAAAGTGAGCTGAATTGTAGCAGGTATCCCCAGAACTGTGCATGGATGGTGTGGATATCACCGCCACGCCATGGGGTTCAGAGCCTTGCTGGGCACATAATCCCGGAGGAGATAGTTGTGTGATTTAAGAGGTCACTTGGTTTTCTGTAGGTAAATGCAGAAACCCGAATCAGAGCGATGACGTTGTTTAGGTGGAAACGGCTCACACTGGCCACCAAGGAGAGAGCAAAGGAAAGCCCCAAAGTGAAGGTAAAGGTTATCAGTCCCCTAGGCACCTGTAAGGGGTGGTGGGGAGCTACTACTACCTAAATTTGTGTTGTGTGCCTGGAGCTGCAGGAGAGATTAACATTTGAAGAGGACTAATGAGGACCAGCCGGCCCTGCCCTCCGCAAGGGCGAGACCCAGTGGGGAGTTAGTCCCTGAGGCCTGAACTGAGGAAAAGGCAGGGAAGGGTGAGGGGTGACTGCAGTGCTGGAGCTGAGTCATCCGCCCCCTCCACCCTGACCCCTTCAGCCCCCCTGGTTCTGTGGAACCCCGCTGCCAGCCAGTTGTCTGCCCCCAACCCCCAAGCAGACTGGGACTTCTCAGCCTCCTTATTGGGTGGGTCAGCTTCTCACAATAACTCTGTCCTAGCTGCCTGGCTGGTGGCTGTGCTCTCTGGGCGGCCCCTTCAGTCTTCCAGTCCCTGTGGAACAATTGGAAGGAGGAAGTGTGACAGGACAGGGAGAGAGGCACCCCTGATCCCCCAAACCTGCCTGCTCTAAGTGGGTTCTGCCATCCCCTGCATCAAAATAAAACATATAAAACTTTAATGAAAATGGGACTTTAATACGGTGAGTATACAATACAGAAGACAAAGAATATAATGTCTGAATCAAACACCCGAAGTGACCTATCCCCTGTGGGCAAAAGTCAACCCAAGAGGGATTAGCCCAAAGCAAGGCCTGAAAGCCCTCCGGGAGACTAAAGCACCTTCTGCTGGGTGCTTTAGAAAAGGGTCAGACATGGCCAGACAAGTCTGGGAGGAAAAGAGCAACATCAAGATCAACATAAACACTGCCACAGTCACCTCCCTGCAGGTCTCTCACCCACATCTGCCTTAACCGGCCAGGGTCAGGAAACAAGCCCGGTTTCTTCATCACATGCTTGCTGCTCCTTGTGGCTTCCTCAGGTCTCCTCCTGGCTCTCAGTCCTGCTTGCTTCCTTCTCTCTTTTCAGATTCCTTCTCTTCTCTTTTTCTCTCTTTTTAATCTCTGCTCAGCTCCACCCTCCTTCTGGGTGGGGCAGGGAACCTGGAACTCCCCCCTCTCCTAGGGACCACCCCGTTACAAAGAATGTAACCCCACAGAAAGCTCTAGAGGTAGGCTTCCTGATAGGGCCCTGAGAGAAAAATGCCCCTGTTTTTAAAAAAAAAAAAACAAAAAAACAAGTGTAATATGAATGCCCAACTGGACAACATGCACCCTTAAATGAC